TTCTCATTGCCAGACACTGAATTGTATTTGGGTAACTGTACTGTGTCCTTTCATGTCAAATGCAGCATCCGAACATCCAACAACAGCCAAGTGAACAAGTTGATGCTGACCAGTGATGAATCAACATTAATAGAGGATGGAATGCCCAGGAGTGACAGCTCCCTTGATGATGGAGATGATGTTCACAGAGCCATAGATAATGAGAGGGATGGAGTTACTTACAGTTACTCCTTCTTTCATTTCATGCTTTTCCTGGCATCACTGTATATCATGATGACGCTTACCAACTGGTACAGGTATTTACATTTGATAACATGCTTTTCTAATAATAATAATAAGCATACAAGATGCTGTTAAGGAAAATTCTTGATCCCGGGTTTCCCACAGCAGGGTCTCTGTCATCTGATTCTTAGATAAATAATGTAACTGAGTGGTACAGGAGTAGGAGCAGCTCGAGCTATGTGCCTCCGGTAAGGGACCCAGAACAGAGATTCCTGGGGTTTTGTACTCTTGCATTTTAGGCACTGGACCATAAGGTTGTTCAAGCAAGCACATTCCTTGCACATGCTTCTTGGTCCAGTGGTGGATTTTGGTCTGGGTTCTTTCTGAGCCTCTTCTTACCCTTTTCTTATCTCTCCAGTTGTCACTCTTTGCTAACAGATGCAATTCCTTTGTCTTCCAATTTGTAAGGGTCTCAAGGTCTTCCTTTACATAACTAAACAAGTGCAGGTTGTAAATTAAGTTCAGCTTTATCTAGGTGGGAGTTATCTGCTTGTGGCCTAAGGCTTTAGTAACTTCAGCTTCCCATGCTAAGCAGCTACTAATGGTAAGCAAAAGCACCCATTCAAAAGAACTCAGTTAAAGGAGTTCAGATAACTAAACTTAATTCACAACAGATGCCATCTCTTGCTGGACAAGGAGGTAAGTTGTGTGCTGTGAGGAATGTAGGTCTGGAATGGGACTTCTCAAGGGAAGTATACTTTTTGATCTATATTAAATGAGTTGTATTTGAAGACTGGGAGTAGCCAGCCTTGTTCACAAGTGCTTTGTTGTATTTTCTGGAGTAATAGTTACGATTCACTGGACCGCTGAAATGTTTCCTGCTGAAATGAGCAGAATAGAGTCTTAAATTCTGTAACAAGTACAGATAAGTAACCACCAGGCCCATGTCAGGTACAGAGAGCTGGAAAAAGGAGAGATGGGACATGGTATATTGGCAGGCTGAGGGAGAGGTGATCCTTCCCTCTGCTCAGCACTGGTGAGGCCACTCCTGGAGTCCTGGGTCCATTTCTGGGCTCCCCTACACAACAGAAGCATGGGCATACTGGAGAGAGTCCAGCAAAGGGCCACAAGATGATGATGGGACAGGAGCATCTCTCATACAATGAGAGACTGAGAGAGCTGGGACTGTTCAGCCTGGAGGAGGCTCAGGGGATCTTAACCCTGTGTATAAGTGCTGAAGGGAGGGTGCAAAGAGGACAGAGACAGGCTCTCTTTTCAGTGGTGCCCAGAGGCATGGGACAGAAACTGAAACACAGGAGGTTCCTTCTGAACATCAGGAAGCACTGTATCACTGCAAGGGTGACTAAGCACTGGCACAGGCTGCCCAGGGAGGTTGTGGAGCTTCCATCCTTGGAGATGTTGAAAATCCATCTGGGCACAGTTCTGTTTTGCAGGATGTAGGTGGCCCTGCTTGGGCAGGGGAGTTGGGTAACTTCCACAGGTCCCTTCCAACTTCAGCCATTCTGTGGTGGGGTCTGGAGGAAGGAAATATGGTTGTCTGCTCGTGAAAAAATTCTCACAGTAGAACAGTCCTCCTGAGTGGGAATTTTTTTAATGTTAACAGCTTGAACAGATGCTCTTCAGAATTCAGAAAATATAAATTATGATTTCTATCATGTTAAAGGACATTTGTATCAAAATAGCAACACGAGAAAGGTGTTCTCTTAAAAGTGACTCTTAATAGACGGTCCTGCTGTGTGCCTTGCATGGGTCAATATGACATCAAGAGTAGTAATTCTTCTAGGTGTTATCTTTCGGCAAGGTGAAATGCCTTATTTGCATCTGTAAATGTTATCCATTCCCTTCCTTTTCACAGACTTCCTCAGAGATTCCACGTAATTATTTCTCTTGCTTGACAGCTTCTCTTACTATTTTTTGGGGTGCTGTTGCTTTCCACTTTCCTGTGACACCAACATACTCTTGCCATTCTTGTACAGGTTGGTGGGAACTGCCTGGAAGAAGGGGAGAAGTGTCCTTGGAGGTGTGGAGCTTAAGTGGAAATGACCTACTGTGCAGAAAGGGTTGAAGAGTGGTGTACTACATGTCTGTTCAAACAAAGATTGCAAATCTTCACTTTTCTTTTCCTTCTTTCACAGTCCGGATTCTTCTTATGAAACCATGACCAGCAAATGGCCATCTGTCTGGGTGAAGATATCTTCCAGCTGGATCGGCATCGTGCTGTATGTGTGGACCCTGGTTGCTCCGCTGGTCCTCACAAACCGTGACTTTGACTAAGCCGTTGCTCTCTAGGGAGACTCTGTTAGCTTTATTCACAGTGTCTTTGAGACAGACAGTATTCCAGATAGTAGTGCAGTTGTAAATATGTGTGTGTGCACGCACGTGCTGTCCGTGTAGGATACCCTGCTTTATTCTGCATGAGTACCTTGAATCACGTCTTTCGTCATTTCACTAGATGACTTTTTCTAGCTGAGCTCAGTGAAAATTGCTGTCATGGTTTTCATAGGATTACTCCTAGATCAAGTGCTTTCGGAGCATTAGATGTAAGATCAAGACCCTTTGAAAGTAGGGTGTTGTTGGTTTTTTTGTCCATCTCAATTGTGTTAAGTAGTTGTAGGAAAAAAAAGTGCAAGTGTTGTTAATTAGGGTAACAAACCCGTGTTAGATCAGGCTGTGGCAGCAAAGGAGAGGCTGCCTTTCATCATCCCTGTTGCCTTGATTCCAAAGGAAGTCTTGAGTAAGCATTGTTAAAGTGGTGCATGTTAGGGGTTAAGTGGGCATCCTGCAGCAGCATTTTGGCACTGGCAGCCTGACCCTTGTCTGTCCCAAGGGCAGCAGTACCTTTAGCACGGATGGTAAATGAGGGAACTTGCACTTGGAGCTACAGAGGAGCTGATGTCCTCCCCTCCTGCATGCTGCTGGATCTGATGTGTGCCCTTGCAGAGAGGAGGGCAGATGCCCTTTTGAGAAGGGTCCTGGCATCACATGCTTAGAAGCACATTTTTAAGGCATCTGTTTACAACGTGCATCTGTGTATTATTACTATTTTTTAAAGTAGTTTAAATGGGATAGCTGTGCTGTAATTTATTGCTGTTTTGTGTGCCGCTTTTTTGGCTAAGCTACAATCACAGGAGTTTCTGAGGAGCAGAGTGGTGAAAACTGTAAGCCCTTTAGAGGCATTTTTGAGTATTGTGGTTAAACTAAAAAAGAAGCAGGAGAAAAGGAGTGCTGAAATTGCAGTAGCTGAAGGAGGCTCGTATTAACTGAGGCTTCAGTGTCTCTTCATGTATTTGCAGCTCTAAATTTTGAAATCTTCTAATGTATTAGGTATTTTGCTTGTTGTTTGGTGCCAGAGATGGACTTGAGCATAGGGAGTCTATATATAGGCATGAGATATTAATCCATTTGATTAAACTACTGTATAGTTCCTGTGCAGTTACAAAACCTTAAATGCTTTTGTGCTTGCTGCTTTGTAACTGAAGTATTTCTCAGTATTTCTGTTACTTGCTGCAACTTGAGGCTGGAGCAGCCTGGCTGGGGGTGATCCAGAGCCTTCAGCAGGCATCACATTACTGTCATGTTTATACTCTACTTCCTGTTGCCAATTATTCTCTAAGCTTTTAATTCTGCACCTGAACACTGGCAGTTACAGCAGGAGTCTGAAATCTCAGACAAACTTGAGATGGTAATGGAAGGATTAAGTAAAGGCTTGTAATAATTTGGAATATGTTGTTACCTTATTAATAAATTTGGATGAAGATATCCAGTGGCTTGATGTCTCATATTACTGCCAGATGTGAACTGTATGTGGTTTTGTGCTGTATTCTCATCTTCTGTTCTCAGGGAGAGTTTTTTATGGCACTTGGCATCCCAGATGTAACAGCAGCAGCATTGCAGCATACACCTGCATACAGGGCAGGTACTGCTAAGCTCTTGAGGAGGTCACATCCTCCCTTTGGGCCCTTTTGCTGCCGTATCTCTGAAAACACGAACATGCAACACTTGTAACTACTTCTTCACCTGCTGCCTCTCCCTTCTGTTGCAGATGTGCTGGGTGTGTTAAGTGTGGGTGGCAGGTGACACCCCTGAACACTGGTTCTACCACAGCAGTTCTTCAATCCTGTAGTAACTACCGAGGCTGTTAACTGGGAAGATCAACAGATGGCCGGGCCTATAGCTTCAGCTTCCTTGGAGAGGGGGCATATAAAAACTGGAAATCTTGCACACTGGAGCTCCTCAGACCTCCCCAGCTTACAGCTTTGAGGGCAGAGAAGGAAACTTATTTTCACAAGCAGTTTAACTTACTGCTTACACTGAATCAGGAACTCAGGGTGACAAGGCTTAGTTAAGTATGTTGGCAACACCTTCACTAGTCATTAGTGACTCCTGGCATGCAGCCATGTAATGCAGCTCCAGCACCTTCACCTGAATAAAGGTGGAAGACTTCAGTGACTTGACAGAAAGGCTCCTGCTCCTAAGCTCTTCAGCTGGAAGGAAAGCTGTGGCTCTCAGTGAGAAAACAAAGGAGAGAACAGCCTTTTGTGTACTACCACACAAAACCAGTTTGCTGCATTAGCCACTTGTTTTGGAGGCATTTAAATAAACCTTGAAGGCTGAAGATAAAGAAACTATTTTCCAATAAACATGTATGGAAGCAGACATCACTGCAAAGCTACTTGGACAGGAAGAACAAGGGCTGTTAGATCCATCTGGTACATGGAGTAAGAGACAACTCGTTGCACAAGTGTCACACTAAATACTTACTTACTTAAGTGACATTTATTTTACCAGCGTAGATGGTCCAAGATAAAAGTATTCATGCAGTCAAGGGGCCTGGTGGCTGTGAAGAACTTTTCCCTGGTTTGTGCTATGTGTGAGCACTTCTGCTGAAGTGAAAGTAAGGCAGAACCAAGATTTTGCAAGGTACAGGCACTTTGTTCCCAGTTCAAGCAGGGAAAAAAAAAGCCTACATCAGGTCCTGGTCCCACCCCCACCCCCAAAAAGCTGTATGTTTGTTAAAATGTTGTAAAAAATAGAAAAACCCCAAAATACATAAAGTCAGTGTTCTCTAACCATACACTACTAGTTTACATCATCATATGTACGACCAGAAGTATAAGAAATCATAAAGCTTACTATCAACAAGTTTTCAGTTACCTGGGATACTTAAAACAATATGCGTAATACCAAGTACTTCACAGCAATACAGTAACAGTCTTAACTTGGTATTGCCAACCGTGCCTCACAGCTGTTCTAACCACACAGTTAAAAAGTTGCTTGTAGGAAGTAACACAGGAAAAGTATTTTGGATTCCACGGTACCTGGTTACATAAAACAGTGATTTACAAAAAACTCATATACCAAACAATATTCTAAATAAATAGTTCATGGCTATATACAGAGTTCCCGTCGCATCAGTTATCCAAGAAGGACATGTCTGTGTCCATGGGTGCCGGGGCAAGTTCGCATAGATAGAACAGCGTGGCTTCGCTCGCTTCTGCCTCTGTCAACGGCTCCAGCCGCACCAGTTTGCTCTGGGTGGGCTGAGGATCAAGGCTGCTCTCCAGCAGCTCATCCACTTCAAGGGGTTTGTCAACACAGGAAGGAGTTTCCACAGCAGAGCTCCCGCTCTCAATGGTGGAGCCTGGGTTCCCATCAAGGAATGCTAGGAGTGGAAATGCTGTGTACTGTATGAGCTGTTTATCTAAGGAGAAAAAAATCCCAAAGCATCATCAGTTTGTATGCCTGTGTGCAAACAAAACCCAACCCACAGAACTGATCTTAAGAATAATTAATGAAAAACACTGTGTTACTTTTAAAAGAGCAATTAAAGGATTGTTATGTTCATGCATAACATTATTTGTTCAGAATCTCCTGCAAAAACTCCAGGTTCTCTGCACCTGGTGCAGTGCCAAAAAACCCCAACCCCAAACATGGTATTTTGGTTATTTGCCTATCAGCATGCCACAAAACCAGACAAAGAGACTGAGATGGTTTTTAGGACAATGCTTGTTCAACCACTGAACTGTTGTAGCACAGCACTACAACTGACCTGATTTGGGCTTAGAAACTTGTGTCTCCTGTGAAGCCGCAGGACCAGCATTATTCTTGGTAGTTTCTATTTCTTTTGTCTCCATCTGAAAACCAGAGCAAAATTTTAAACACATGCCGAAACCTGTTCCAATGCCACTAGGACACAGCTGACCAGTTCTTACAAAACATTTTTATTTGCTAAGGGATGCAGTGGTATCAGTTACCCATACTCACAGACTGAGAAAATGTGAAATGGAAGCACTGGCTTACTCAACAAAGAGCCAAGAGTAATGCTCATAAACAAACAGGGCAAGTTCAAAGAGCAAGATCTTCGCTCCACTGCTTGCTCATTTCTTTTCCCCACCAGACAATACAGATGAAGACGTTCTGACAAAGCGTGTACTATGTTTGCAAGTACTAAACTCTTACAGAATACAGAAATCAAGAGACTGGTACAACAAATGGGCATTTGACCTCAAGGTCATCAAGTTCTGAAGAATGTTATTTATGGGTGTATTTTTCCCTTTTCTGTTTAAAACCTAACAGGACGAATTCAGCTGCAGCCTTCCTATTCTCACGGAAGCTTCTAAAGCCAGATCATGAAAAAGGTACTGTTATATCAGTAAAGAAAACAGTAAAGGATGAATGAAGTTTGCATCACTCGCTGCTGTGCAAATCGAGCAATGGATTTCAGACTTACTTTGATATTATTGATATGATCGGTGGGATTCATCTGCACGGAGCTTGTGAAAAGCTGTATAAGACAAAACACATCAAGGTTTAGGTATCTCAGTGTTGCTATTAAAAATACATGAACATCATGTTGGCATGTGTAAGAATAATCCCTGTACTTGCTGTTTTCACTCTCCATCAGGATTAAAGTTTATTTAAAGGCAGTTATTGCTTTTGTAGAGAAAACCTTGCTTTGGAGCACAATGATTTGGAATTACATGAACCTCAGTCACAAAGGAAACAACCACATTGTGTCTACTTAGTCTAACATGGTTTGCTGCAGTGTTAAAATACCACTTCCTTCTTACGTTGCTGCACAGAGAACTCTGCGTATAAGGAAGAACATACCCTGATCAAGTCTGCAAGTGAAACCAAAAGCGACAGAGTCATCAACATGTGGAAGAGTAAAGCTGCTGTCAAGAGGGATCTCAGCAAAGCAGAAGGGCCATAAGGTTCAACAGCCAACTGCGTTTAGGACACCATAACCTCATGCACCAAGTTAGGGAACAGAGAGGGAGCAGCTCCTCGGAGAGGGTAGCAGGGAGTCACAGTAGGCAAGACCCCACCATGAGCCAGCAGCATGGCCTTGCTACAGTGAGACATGCTCTGCTACAGGCAAACCACAGCCCGGAGGGCCAAATTATCATTTCCCGCTGCTCAGCACATGAGGCCACCTTCAGAAGGGTGCCCAGGTTCTGGCCTCCCAGTACAAGAGTTTTCAAACTAGAGGGGTCCCAGAGGACCATGTGACATCCAAGAGGCTGATTGAGCTTGGCTAATCTTCTCTGAGGAAGGCAGACAAAGGAGAATAACTGCACTCTTCCACTGCCTCCGAAGAGGTGTTATGGAGAAGACAAACTCCACAGAGGTGGACAAAGGACAAAAGGCAAGAGCTACAAGCTGCAGCAGGGAAAACTGTGACTGACTTAGGGAAATCCTTCACAAAGAAGAGTCAAGCACTGGAACAGGCACCCAAGAACCTCCCATCTTCAGAGATTTCAGAATTTGAGACAACAAGGTGGAACGTGATCCAGCTTTCAAGCTGACTCTGCTCTGATCAAGGGGGCTGGCCTACATGACATGCACAGGTCCCTTCCAACCTAGACCATTCTACTAGACATAAATCTGAAGAGAAACTGAGAACACACTCCTAAGAAATAATGTGAAATGGCAAACAAACTTGTAAAATAAATGCCAAGAACCTTTTAACACCAGCTCATCGAGAAGCCCACAGATGATGTGCTGGGTTATTTCAAAGTAAGAGTATCTAACTGGTGTCTGAGTTCATGTAGCAAGAAATATAGGCATTAATTCATTAAGAAAGCCATTCTTCAATCAAAACGTTAAGCATTCACTTGACAAGTAGCACAACACTCAGAATTATACCAGTGCCCCAGAAACATGCTCACAAATACTTCTAACTTTCCTTTTCTAAAGGGAAGAAAGGAAAAACTGTTGTTTTAAATACATTTTAAACAGTAACAACCCACACAAATATTTTCTGTAGTGTATCACCAAAATACTTTAACAGTGAAGATTACCTCAACCAGGAGGTCTGGATCTATGCTGAACTGTCGTCCTGATAACATAGCCTGGAAGTCCTCTAAACTGCAGTCGATGCTGTCAAGATAATCCAAAAGTTCAACCCTAGAAGACGAACTATATTTTAGTCCATATCCCTTAACAAAAGAAGGAGAAATCCATGCTTATGCTTTACACAGATGTACTATGTGCATCTAAAAATCTTCACCAGAACTAGAAAGAACTAAGTCTTTCATTAGAAACCACCTTTGGAAAAAAAAGGAAAACTTTTAGCCTCTTTCAATTCAACAAAAGCAGACAGGTGCTCCAAAACAGGTATTACAACACCATAACAATACGCCACGACATTAGCAGAGATGTGATTCTTGCATCCAGGTAGCCCTAATGAGTCCCACTGCCTCCAAGAGTTACACAGACAAATGCTGACAGTTAACCAATGACATTCACAAAGTTACACTGTCAGATTATGTACCCCAACTCACTCACTTCACAATGAAAATCAGAGGTCTCATCTTCAAAGTACAAAGATCTTTTATAAGCTGGATAGAATAAAGGTGACCTGTAAACAAAAGTTCTCAACAGAAACTACTACTCAGATCTTACTTCAGTCAAACAATCATTTCTGATACTTGGAAAAAAACTCAAACAAAAGACCAGGCTACTCACTTTCCAAGGAGATTTATATTCTGTGAAATGACTCCGTTCTCACTGAGTATGGAATCCATCATTGAGACAGAATCTTCTGCAGTTAAAGTTGACTGGTTATTCAGCTGCACAGCACTTGACATGAGTGGGCTTGTGCTGTCACTGACAGGGCTGAGTGGATCATTAGCCGGGACAGCAACTGATTCTGTGCTTTTATCCCCTTGAATTACAGGAGCATATTCTTCTTCATTATCATCTTCCACAATTACAATATCAGGAGAATGACTACAGCTGTAATGTGAGACAAATTAATTAAAGCCTTTCACACACTCATTAAACTGGGAGTATTCCACAGGTTTAGTTACTTCCCACTTTAGTCAAACCACTATAAGGAAATAAACCTTCCTACTACTTTTTAATACAGCACTTAGCAAGATACTCCAAATATCTATTTTCCATTGATATGGGGCTGTAGTGCTAAATACTGTTAATGCAGCTCAGCTAGCAGACACTGTTGTGCTAAACCACAGTAACAACTACTAAAAATATAGAAGAACACTGGTATTTTTCACATTAGAACAACTATAATCTTGCATATAAAGTTAAGTATGAAGTGGATCCAAGCATATTAGGCCACAAACTAGACAGACAAAGTATTCAATGCATTTTTCCTTTTGTACAGAATCAACTCTGGAGCATCAGTCAACAGTATTTGTAGTTAATTAACCTTTTCTTATGTATACCAGGAAGGCAACCTAAAAACTAAGACAGTGCCTCAAGTAATTTGCTTTTATCCATATTCTGGTTTTCTTAACCCTTAAGTAGCTGTTAGTTGTGCCGTCTTCTATACCACAACCTTAACTTCATAAAATTTTTCTACTAGGGAATGAATTCCCAGATATCAGCTGAACAAAAACAATGGTACTAGTTCAAGTGTAGTTCATATATTCTGATTCTGTAAGATGGAAATATAGAATCATAGAATAGTTAAGAGTTGGAAAGGACCTTAAGATCATCTAGTTCCAACCCCCCTGCCATGGGCAGGGGCACCTCACATTAAACCATGTCACCCAAGGCTCTGTCCAACCTGGCCTTGAACACCACCATGGATGGAGCATTCACAGCTTCCCTGGGCAAACCATTCCAATGCCTCACCACCCTTACAGCAAAGAACTTCCTCCTTATATCTAGTCTAAACTTCCCCTGTTTAAGTTTTAACCCATTACCCCTTGTCCTGTCACTACAGTCCCTAATGAAGAGTCCCTCCCCAGCATCCCTATAGGCCCCCTTCAGATACTGGAAGGCTGCCATGAGGTCTCCACGCAGCCTTCTCCAGGCTGAACAGCTCCAACTTTCTCAGCCTGTCTTCATATGGGAGGTGCTCCAATCTGTCCAATATCTAAGTTTTATCCCTTAAGGCATAAAACAGGTGTTACCAATACCATGCAACTCAGGAAGAGCTGCATGCCAATCCCTGGACCAAGATTCAACTGCTCAGAACTGAAAGATAAATTACTTCTATAGCACTAAGTCTAGTACTATAGTACTAACTACAGACGGGAAGGAACATAGTCACAAAACACTTGGGACTGACTAATTTCAAAGCAAGCTTGAAAGAAAATCCCAATCATCTAGGAATCCTAGAAAAAAAAAAGCCTGAAATTAACTGGCTTAATACAGTTCAAAGACCACAGCAACATTTGACAAACAGCACATGCTGTAAAACCCAAGGAAGTCATTCCTGTCTGTATAACCAAAAGTATGAAGACACCACTTACTCTGTCTTTGGATAAGTACTATATTTAACAACAGAGTACAATAATACAGACTACTTCTCACTAGTTTCTAACCTCTGCATATTAAAACTCCAACAGCCAATTAAGTATTTCAAACAAATCCAGAAGTCAGTAGTTCAGAACCTAGTGTGAATTAATAGATTAAGCTTCCACATGTGCAGGAGTGTTGAGTAATTCTATTAATTTTTAAAAAATTATCTAAGTCATCTGAATTATTCCATATTCCACAACACTGAAAGCCACTTATACACTTCTAGAGACTTCTTACTTTGAAGAATCAGAAGTGGAATCTTCATTTGCTTCTGGTGCAATGGGAAGATTTTCTTCATCAGCCATGGGATTTTCTTCATCAGCCATGGGATTTTCATCTCCCACATCCTCAGTGACATCATAAATAATAATGTCATCTGAAATCTGTTCCCTTTGCTTTAAGCCTTCATTTCTGTTGAGAGGTACCTGAGAAATATTTTAAAGAGTGTCAGGGGATAGAAAGACAAAGAGCTTCAGCATTCTGGCAGTTACCATTGTATCTTACAATGCCTCAATTTTAAATTGCAAAAGCTGCCCTACACCTCAAAGATTATAAGCTGTTTGTATAGATCTACATTTAATAAAAAAAAAAATACAAAAAAATGAACAAGATGAAAAATAGCAGCTACAGGAAAAATACTGCAGCCACAGAAACAAAAATATCCTAGCACTGTCAGCAAAAGCAACAAAAAACGCTGTGACAACAGGACTACGCAAGAACAAAAAGTATTAAAAAGTGGCTGCTGTTTAAATAATTCTTTGGTTTAAGCTATTAATTCTAGTTTCATGCTCCAGCCCTCATTTTAAGAATTTCCCCACCAACCATTATTTGGACAGCAGAAAATAACTGTCAGTGACATGATACATTCAAATGGCACAGGGACTTGACATGATTTTGCTGGGTTGGATGCTGCCTGGCAGAGCAGCACACTGGATCCTTGCCCCTGCATAGGGATACGGGTGCCTGACTTCCAGAAATACAAATGCAACATAAATATGTTATTTCTAATAACTCTTATTATTAAAAGCAGACTGCTTTCAGAAGTATCACACCAAGCTGCATTTAACACACAGGTAACTGGCTTATACATGCTTATATTGAAAAGTGAATGGTGACTTTCAACACACTTGGCTTCTGAAGGAAACACAACGCAGTGTACCACTTGGGAGAAGTTGACAGCTCTTCGTACACAGCTATGTTTTTTTCCCCATAAAACAAGCTGCTTGATCAGTCTGCCCCTCCACTAGTTCCTTCATGTTAACAAACAGTATGCATAAAATGATACTTACATGATGGTTACTGTCAGCTGGTTCTTTCACAATTTGTTGAAACACACTCGACTTTGTAGGTCCATTAGTGTTCAGAAGTAGAGGCCTAAATCAGAAAGAGTATAGAAGAAAGCCACCTCAAAACTAAGTCCTTGGTTTTAGTCCACAAAACATGTCAGTGTATCGACTGGACAGCAAGTTGTTAAGACCTTACTTACCTCTTGCGTTTCAGGCTCACAAGCTGGTTATTCTGCACCAAGGTAACAATAAATTGTACAATCTGTAAGATACAAACCACTACTGTTAGTCACCCTACCCTGTATTTGTTTCTCTCAGATTATCAAGATCAGCTGCCTTTCCTTTTGAAATGTTAAGACTTTCTTCCCTTATGTTTTCAATTTAAGGATTAAATATATGTATCTGGCTTGAACAAACTGGAAAAAGTAATCAGTAAGAGTCTTTCCTATGAGTCTGCTTTCAGTGATTACTTCTGATATGTAAAAAAAAGGTATGAGACTCTGCATTTACATCAGTTTTGGCAGATTATAAATCTGTTCAATTAAGCTAAGCCAATATATTCTCAGTGGGTTCCATGCAATGATCACCCAACACAGAACATTAGTCATTTGACTTCTGAAGTAAAGTGGATGGACCATTTTAAGGGTACCTTAATGAACAACGTACAATATTCCTGAACCTCTGAAAAAGTTTACAGGAGTTTGGCCTTATTTTCTGCTTATGCATGTTTGTTTCACAAAGATTTGCTCACCACCCTGATGTTTTTTTCTATTAAAAAGACATTTCAGACGCTACAAAAAAAAAAGGTGAGGGAGAAGCAAGGTAACATGTGGCACCGTATTCCTATCTCAGAAGCACTCACTCACACATTCCCATATAATGCCTCAATGGAGCCTTACCTTCCGAATAACTTGCTGCTGTTGCAAGTGTTTTGCTCGCAGTTCTGCTACTTCCCTCCACAGGGATTCATTCTCTCTGTTTGAAAACAATGGTTTAAAAGTTTTAGAATATTTACGTTAATAATTTTTGTTAAGATTAGCTGGCTTCATTAAAGCTCTTTGAAATGTCTTTTTAGATTGCATGTGGGGGGAAAAAAAAAGAAAACAAGTCACACAGTAAGAAACCTTGGCAAGTGATTACAAAATGGAGACCCAAACAATAAGTAGCCTTCAGAGAATTTCCAACCCCTTAAAAATAACAATTAATTCCCTAATTTGCAATTCTTATTACACATACAGTCAGCATTTGTTTTCTTTCTTGTAACAAAGTTAACTTCTCTTCTTCCTTCTAGTGATTAAATAGTAACAACAATAAAAAACGAAGCATAAAACTGGTTCTTACCAGCAGCAAGGGACCAAGGAGCACAAGAATGCAGTTTCCTCTCACCACTAAACAACAATAGTTCCTCATCTATACTGCTTGTTCTTCAAGTTCTTCATCAAACCTGTTTGTCATCCCTCAGATACCTCTTGCTAGATGGCAAGCTACCTATGAGCAACTGTACATCCCCCTTGAAAGCATATTTACAGAACAAGCTCTCAAGTCATGCATGCACCTGTAGGTTATCTTATGCTGCCTCTACTATCAGTGGGAGAATGAAGACAACAAAAAGCAATGAGCAAAAACATTAATTGTAGTAAGCTTAAGCAATTTGTGTCATACGCAATTTGCACAAACCAAACTCTGCCTCAAGCTAAACATACCTACTTCAAACTTGAAGACATAAACCAGCATACTTCATGCTAAGAGCCAAGTTGAATATTCAGCCGCAGTACTATTATGGAACTATTAAAGGTATTATTTCATTGCCCGCTAGTATACAGTTCTCCAAACACCAGCACTGCCTATTACTTTTAGCCATATCAGAATATTCATTTTTTAATGCAATGCTTTTATTAAAATTTATTTTTATAAAGCAGTATTTAAAGTTAGGAAATAAATCAAGAGACACCTAAAAATTAGGTCTTTGGCTGGTACCTATTATCAGAATTACTCAAATTTAAGGATTGGTTGCTGATGAGCAAATTACCTCTTCAATGCAGACAACTGAGATTCAATGGTCTCTTGTTTATTCTGCACCTTTTGAGCATTACTTAGTATTTTGGAGAGATCTTCCTGACGTATCTTGTTTTCTTCGGGTCTCGAAGAAGAAACCTTTAAAAGATTAGAATCCAGAAACAATGCTTTCCTTGACTTAATGTTAACTGTTTTCTTTTGGTGATCAAGTATATTTTCCTTTAGTGCTGACAAACTATTCATTTAAGCTAACAATATACCAAGCATCAAATAAGAAAAAAACCCCACCAAAACCAAACAGAAGCACACGGAAATTTCTTTTTACAGCTTGCCACCACATTAAGCTGCCACCACAACACATTTAGCTGTTAAAAACATTCGTGCACATTCAGATTTGTCAGGCATTCTCCTAAGTAATCTACTTCATCCTAACTCTTTCACAATAATCCAACGTTAGTAAGTACGCCCCTCACCAGAGTTTAAATGCTGAATTTCTATTCATTATCTCTACCTAACTCACAGTAACGGCAGAACACATTTCAGAATCACATCTAGCAGCATAACAAACGTTTATAAGTTTGCCCCTTGTCCAATTTGGTGCAAAGTTTAATGCTTATTGTAGCTTTGTGCTGAAACAAGCTACGTAAACAAGCAGACTGTTATATTACTGATGGCAAAGTCAAAGCATGCTCTGCACGCCTTCTAATACCCATTTGTAAAACTGTATTTGCAGAATTAGCTTATTTTTTCCACCTGTGAAACTTCCTATAATGACAGCAAAGGTTAGAGGAAGCCAGTCAAGTCACCCAAAATATCTTTAAAAAAGTCAAGATATGTATGAGAGCGGTGCAGACTGCTTCCTCAACTCCAAACTTATTTGCACTCACAATCCTGCTATTAAAGCTGACATTAACTTTGCTATTCATTCAATACTTATAAGCGTTCCACTGAATTTTCACTAACCTTCCTTTTAATGTGTTCCAACAAGTCCTCCCGGCCCTGCTTAAAATACGGGTGCTGAAACTCTACTGGACCATCTCGCTCCAGTTTGACAATACCAGAATCAACATGAACAACTTTACGGAAGCCATCTTTAAAGAAAAAAAGAAGAAAAAAACCAAATAACTCTCAAAGCCCACATTAAGAAATTCAAACTATGGTGTTCCAACTATGCTGTTACCAGTTTTGAGGCTAAGACAGTAACCTAGTTGCAGAGAACACAGGGCCACTGCTCGAAGGGTATGGTCTGCAACTGAACATGTACAGGATCTAAAACCATGCTAGAAAGCAAAAAGCCAAGAACTTACACATGTTTAACTGTCTGACAAAGCTTGCCATGTTGTTGTGCTTGAAGTACTTGGGAAGAATCTCTTTTGAAAATCTCTGTTCATCCAATACCAAGAAACTCTGGCCATTCTAAAATGAGAGACACATTAAGATACTTAAAGACCATTGGAGAAAACATGCTGGGCTTTCAGAATTAATCATCAGATAGGAATGTTTCCTTTGTGCATGCAGTACGTAACTGATCTGCTTGCCTACTATTTTCCGCAACAAAAAGCATACAAAGCCTGCAGCTGGAAAGCAACGAGTATTATCAATTTACAATCCCTATCTATACATGAAAGGGAACATCTCTATTGTTACTCATGGCTTCCTCAAGAAATTAATTACTTGTTTACCAACAATTATCATAATTTCACTGGAGGACAATACTATAAATTTTGCACATAGCTTCAAGGACTTTGGAAGTAATCTAACAAAGAGACAGTGCAAGGAAAAACACTAGCAACCAGCTAAGGTCTCCTCTGCTTCCCCGTATAAAAACATGATTAGTTTAAAATGAGTTGTAGACTGGATGGAGCTGTCAAAGAGCTGAGAGTGCTGGGTTTTGGAGTCACCAACAAGATAACCACCCAAGGCTGCATCCCCCTCCTCCTGGGATGCCAACTGGGAGGGAGAACTGATCTTTTATTTCATCCACAGGCCTAGACTAAAATAGAAGCCTCAGCTCTTTGTTCTTCAATGACTGTGCTCCATTAACCAAAGGACAACTATTTGGCAGAATCCAAACCAGTCACTTCAAAATTATTTCGGTTCTGTCTGTACCTCCACAATACCCTCATCCTGTATTTAATGAGAAATCTACCATCTTTGACAGATATCAGCACTAATGTTACATCTTCTTAGAAGCCCTTTCTAGTTAAATGAGTCACATTTGTTTCTTACTCCCAAAGATCAGCAGTTCTATGATCCCAAGCTTAAAGAACCAACCAGGAGACCATGTGATGATCCTTGCCCAGGAGTTTGTTTCTGACAAACTAACAACGATCATCAGCAACAGGATTTATAAACGGCTTACCCCTGCATGAGTTAGGAGCTCAAGACTGAGAAGAGGGTAGGAAGGCAAAACCTTCCCAGTAAAGCCTGCCTACCTACCTCCTGCTGAGCATGTCAATGGAAGGGAAAAAAAGGAAGCAAAAGAAATCGCAGGAACAGGCCATTTTAGCCTATGCATTATTGAAACCCACCATCTGAAGATACTCAAACAAGTGTACTACAGTGATCTGCAGTACCTCACTTCACCGTCACTTTGACATTGTTCAGACCTACCACACAAGAATCTGGGAAACACATCTACTAGGTTCTTGTTGCCCTGGCAGCTGTTTACAGCAAAGCTGTACAGACATTAAAGCCTGACTTGAACTCATTGAAGCATTACTACACAGCTAAATACAGTTTTCAACTGCTAATATTACTGACTGCAGCATTCAGCAACCTTCCAAACACTTTGTTTGGTACTCCTCATATGTGTTTCCATGGACAACACTTACCGTGCTTTCATGGAGATATGTTTGCAGGGAGATAGAATTCAGCTGTTTGGTTGACGATGGCATTTTTTCATACAGAGTAAACTTATGGATTGGCATAGGCGGAAAATGAAATACTGCAGTAGCTGTACTCTTCCTTTCCTGTTAAACTGGTACACTTTCTGTACCCATAATATTGACACAGGCCATTTTCAAGAGCTGCCACTTGTGCACCAAGTGATCCCAATACCTTCCCCACACAGAAAATACTGCATGCCAATAACATCAACTGTGATTAGTCTATCTTCCTCCCACAAACAGCCTTGCAGAAACCCAATTAGTCTTTATTTCTAATTAGAAAATACTACAAGGATACCAAATAGCTGTGGTGTGCTTACTTGTGATAAGGATAAGCAATTAATTTGGAAAGTCTCCACTGAAAGTGCAAAGTGGCAAACCCAACACTTCTTAAGCTAGACAACATCTCAGTCTTCATGTAGCCTTTAGCATTTCTCATCCATGGGAAAAAACAAAAACCAAACAAACAAAAAACAAACAAAAAAAAGAAAATCTACCGAGTATACCCGTTTCCTTCTTCAGGACGTTCTGGCTGAAGTTACTGGTAATGCATTACCAGCAAAATGTTTAAGAAAAGCATTTTATCACTGCTTAAGCATTTAAAATAAACTCAGACAACAGCTGCCATCTCAACACCACTTGAAGCTGCTGATGCAGTTGGAGGCCAGGATTGCTTTCAATATTAATAATTATTTTATAACATTATTTAATAATTATTTTAAAACCACCTAAAATATAGAAAAAATTAAATAACCTCCTGCTTAGCATTCATCAGAAGAGTTAATGATGCTTACTACAGCAAATCTGCCAAGTGGTTAATTCCTGCCTTGCAATGTTTTAAGACGCTTGTAACTCCTGTGCTCGGATAATTCTTATTTATTATTTCTACATCTGAATATACGGGATTCAAGACGAGAGGGCATCCATCTCAGATCTTCCATTTAGACATCCATCGCCACAGGCACCACGCACGCCTAACCTGCAGGCAGCAGCACAGGGGTGCAATAGGCAGACCGCCACTTGCCCCGCACCCTGTCCGTCTCCAGCAGTGGCCATGATGGCCGGAGGGGTGGTGGTGAGGCGCCCGCCACAGCAGGTGGGCAAGCGCCCGGCAGCCGTGGCCCCACGTGGCCAACAATGGGTGCGGGCCGCTCCCCGCAGCGAGAGGAAGGTCTCGGGTGCCACGCGGGGGAACCATTGCCGCCCGCCTCGTGCGCAAGAGGCACTGGCACCTCCGGCCCCCTTCACCCCTAGGCAGGGCGCTGTTACGTAGCGCTCCCTCCCTCCCGAATTCACCCCGAACTCGCCAACCCGCCCTGGAAACCCCACCGTGGCCCTGCGCTTCTCGTACCACAGCTTAACAAAAACTGCGTGTCGGCGATCCGCAAAGCCCGATCGCTCTCGGATCCCTATGCTCATTCCCCAATCCCTTAAGCTCGGAGGCACCCACCGCCCGAGGAAGCCGGCCTGCTCAGTTGGGACCGGCGCCCATACTTCCCAGTTACCCCCAGCTACCACACAGCGTTTGAGGCAAACCGGCCTCTGACTGCCCCTCCCGGACTAGGAAACCCGCGACGGCCCAGAGCGGCCGGGAAAGGTGGGGCTGCTCATCCCAGGCCGGCTGAGGGGAGCCCAGCCCAGCCAAGCCAAGCGGGTGTACCCTGTTCTTACGCCCGCCAAGGCCCGGGCCTCGCGGAAGGCCCTCCTGCCCTCCCCTCCCCTCCCCGCCCCGCCCCGCCCCAAGCGCCGGCCGCCGGAGAAAGGCTGGAAGGGACGACATACACACACGGGCTGACGGACGGGCACCCCACCCCCCTCACCGCGCACGCGGGCGGGGCGCCGCACCTGGCTCCAGGTGATAAGCTGGTTGCTGGGGGCCTCGCCCACCAGCGCCCACAGCTTACTGAGGAAGGCCGGGACCCCCCCGCCAGCGGCGTGCAGCGGCTGCGTCTGGGGGGGCTGCGCCTGAAGGATCTGCGCCTGAAGGATCTGCTGTTGCTGCTTCATTGTCGCTCGAGATCCTCCGCCGTCTGGCCGGGGGAGGGGCGCGGCGGCAGGAGAGGAGGGAACCCGCCAGGCCTTCCCCGCGCTCCGCCCGCGCTACGGGCGGGCCCCGCATGCGCACGGCTCCCACTTTCACGCACGCCTGCGCACCGCCCAGCCATCTCCCCGCCCCTATCCCCCCCTGCGCGTTACATAACGGCCCCACGTGCGCCGCCCTCACGTGTCACAACAGCTCGGACCCGGCGCATGGACAGGGAGGGGGTCCCGCCCATGCAAACGTGAGGAGGCCAGGGGCCAATAAGAGCGCGGCTCTGCTCGGGGGCGGAGCCGGGGGAGCGAGTGTTCCCGCCAGGGCACAGTGCCCAAGGCGGGCAGCCCGCTGAAGGCTTGCAAGTGACTGAGGTGCGGGGCACAGTGGGGGGTATCCTCCTCCCCTCCAGCCTCCATAGAAGGGCTTGCCTCTGTCCGCACGGAGGTACGCAGGGCAGAGTGGGCAACCGTGCCTGGCACCTCAGTGTGAAACCCACGGCACGCAGCAGGGTGGTGCAGCAGCTCTAGCACATACCCTATATATATATATATATATATATATATATATATATAAATATAATCTGTCCTTAGATTACGTGTAAGCATATGCACAACAGAGACATCCAAGCTAATGCTAGAAGGGAGGTAGTTCCTAAGGATACTAACGTCTCGCCAGCGCAAGCTGAGCTTTTGACTTCAGACGTATTGGCTACAGGGACTCTGGAGAAAGACTGATTTAAATCAAAGGTTCTGTCTAGGAAAAAAACCTTGTAAATGGTAAAATGCAGTAAAATCATTTTCCTTCCTAACAACTATTTTTCAAAACTTAATCACAAACTTAATTATTTTCAATTAAGAAATTGTTCTGGGAATGAAACCAGTATCTTCTTAAAAAGTCCTCATCACTTGTTGCTGATAATCCTTTGCTGAGAGTTCTCAGAAAGTCTCAAAAGAATCAAGGTCAGTTTGATCAGTTTCATCCACAGTGACAATAAAGCACAGTGGTTCAGGAAAAAATCTAAGAACCTTTGAGCGTGGTAACCCTGCAGGAAAATGAATTTAAATACTTCCATTTCATGCTGTGTATCACACCACTTTTTTTCACATTACTTGTAAGAAACGAAAGTTTGTTTGTCATGATGTTCAGATTAAGACTCAATTATTTACTTGCTGGAAATGAGAGAAGCACAATAAATAACAAGTTGCAGAAACTGCTGAAGGAGAGGGTGAAACGAGTCAGTTTGCTGAGGTAAAAGCCATCCAGCTGGCCCTGGACATTGCTGAACAAGAAAAGTGGCCAGTACTTTATCTCTATACTGACTCATGGATGGTGGCAAATGCCCTGTAGGGGTGGTTGCAGCAATAGAAGCAGAGCAATTGGCAACCCAGAGGTAAACCCATCTGGGCTGCTGCACTGTAGCAAGATACCGCTGCCTGGGTGCAGAACCTGGTGGTGAAGGTACGTCATGTAGATGCCCATGTACCCAAGAGTCGGGCCACTGAGGAACACCAGAACAACCAACAAGTGGATAAAGCTGCTAAGATTGAAGTGGCTCAGATGGACTTAGATTTGCAACATAAAGGTGAATTATTTTTGGCCTGGTGGGCCCATGACACTTCAGGCCATCAGGGCAGAGATACAACATATAGATGGGCCCCTGATTGAGGGGTGGACATAACAATGGACACTATTGCCCAGGTTATTCATGAGTGTGAAACACATGCTGTGATTAAGCAAGCTAAACGGTTAAAGCCTCTGGTATGGAGGACAATGGCTGAAGTACAAATATGGGGAGGCCTGGCAGATTGACTATATCACACTCCCACCAACCTGACACTACATCATCCTGTTAACAAACTCATTGACTTGACATTCATTAGATCATTCCTGAGAGCCTAAGTCACAGTTCCTAAGTTTATGGCTTAGGTTTTCAGGGTCAGCATTTGGAATGATAAAACTTCAAAGAATGCCTTTTAGATTTAAGCACAAGTTTACAGTAATTGTCCAAGTCATTTTTCATCCTGACATGCATGCAGCAAGCTTCTACCAGTTCCATTTATCTAGTTAAGAAATGCTAGCTAAACAGAGAAAACGTGGTTGTGATTTAATCTAGACACAGTATTGCTCTCCATCTTTTTTGTTCATACCATACGTTTAAAAATAGAAGCTGATTTGCATAATTGTTGGACAACATTTCAAATTGCATTTTTAATGTCAAATTATTTTAAAAGGTAAAATTCTGTATTGATATCTTTTGCTGAGACAGAAGTGGAAGTATGCACTTAGGTTTTTTGCATTTCACTAGTTGATTAAACATCATCTTAGTGAGAAAAGACCATTGTGTAACTTGATTTCCAACCTTTTACAGTTGAGGGAAGTCTTCTGAGCTTTCTTGCTAAGCATCAGTTTAGGAAAAAACCTAACCAAATTCTCTGAAACCTTAAGGCTTAAAAGTGGGAGTTATTAATTACATACTTAGAATAAAATGTTAGTGATGTGCAACTCAAGTAACTCTTCCATTAGTTTTTTATTATCTTACAATGCCTGGGCACAAGATAATTGCTTGCCCTTGTTCATGTTATTTTACAAGTCAGCAATTGTAGAACTCACCAGTCTTTAACCCAGGGCTGTTTGACTTCTCAGTATCTTCATGAGCAGTGTTATCAGTCATCCTTTTCCGCTCTGCAGTACCCATTTCCTCCATTCAGCTTGCAGAAATCTAGGAATTGTTAGCTCTGAGATAGGTCAAGGTATTTAAATCTTTCACAATACAGTTCTAGCCCTCCCCTCACCAGGAAAACCTAACACTCTAACACCTTTTGGATATTGTGAAATGATGGAAATTCAGGAAGATCTCCTCCCATATCCCTCAACTAATCCTTTGAGCACCAACAGATGCTGTTCCTTTTCAGCCTCATGCCCCCTTCCCTAAAGTCCACAGTCCTGCCACATGCAGGAGTTTCAACTAAGTCTTGGCACTTGGGAATAAGAAGGGGCTTCCAATGAGGAACATCTAATTTCGAGTGCTCTTTCTTACAGCATTCACAGAGAGGTTAAATAGGAAGCAGCACCTCAAATCTGGACAGGAAGCCAAGACAGTAAAGCGACCTGTTTGATATCCCATATGCTTAGAATCACAACCCCCAAGGGTCTCTTCTCACACTAGAGCAGCAGGGAAGCCCCACAGCAGTCCCATACTCTCTTAAAGGAGCTTTGGCCACTGCTAGTATCATTTTGACATGGTTTTTAAAAAAGTTTGGGATGGGGATTCTTTTTTCTACGGCATACTTACAAAGAGGTCACAGTGCAGCCCTCATGTAACAATATTTGTCTGAAATGAACCTCACCTGTTCTTCTCTCACTTGCTATTTTCTCCCAGCATAGTGGAATATACATCAAGGGTCAACCCCCAAGCTTTCCCTACAGGCTGCTGCTATAGCTCTTGTAAGCCTGAAGTACAATCCGTGTGAATTCTTGTTACTTCAGACCTCGAGTAAAGCCTAAGCCAACTCACCAAGGGTACTACTTTCCTTAAGACAAACAGCACAATGCAAAACAAGCAACTGAAAATGACACAGGAGCCAAAGGTAGGGTGACATATTTCAAGGGGATGCTCTCCTCTTCTTGTGACCACTATTTGTCCTGACTGAAGTGCATAACATTGGAACATTTCTGGCAATGATAAGGTAGTAAAGAGCAACACAGTTGCCTTGTAACTCTCATCCATACTATAATTTGTGGTTTGAGATCCAATGATTTGTCTGTATTGATCCCCATGAAAACAGCAAAAATCAGTCACCAAACTTGCTCATATTCTGCCCTGGAAAAAGCACAGAAGGCCACAGGGAAACCATCCTAAAATGTCTATAGTATCAAACACTGTGCACAGCACTTCACAGCCAAATTTGATGCAAGCCCTCCACCTTTAAAAAAGTTATTACACATTTTAAACAACTGAAAGTGTTCCCAGGAGTCCCAACTCTGCACATAGTAGGATCTCCCTGAATTAAAAGTGATTAAATTGATTGATTATTTAATTAGCTTTAAATTAATCCTATCCTCCTTGAACCTGTGACGGCCTTTGAGATTTCTGTGTTCATGATGAAATTTCCTAGAGCAGGCAAGGTAAATGGCATTTCTGAGAGCTTCTGAAGAGGTTGTTCTTCCAAAACCAATACCCTTTTGGTAAATTTTATGCTGTCCTTGTGCACCTGATTCAAGTACTGCTCAGTGGTTTTGATGGCTAACTGATTAATTTTCCTTCTCTTCTCACATGCCCTGCAGGAAGAGCAGATGGCACAGTCATCACACCGAACATCTAACAGACACTGATACAATAAGACTGGCAATAAATTTTAAAATTAAGTTACAAAAACTGTTCCCCACAGTGTATTTAAAATTCAGCTGTGAAAACTGAAACCCAGTTCCATTCATGATCAATAGCTTTTTTCTTAAAAGGAAAATTCAGACCTATATTCATATTTACTACTAACCCTTCAAGACAGCTTGCTATGGAAGTGGCACAGAAGTAGTACCCATTTTTTTCTTAGCTTATGTATGAGGAATTAGGCTTTTCCCAATTAGACAAGATCTTCTATACTCCATGAAACTGCTTACAGTATCTTAAAAGACTGATTTCTCTTACTAAGAGGAGGAGTTACAAACTTGAAAAAGGTATATTGTAAACAGGCTAAGATAGCATTCAATTAAATGCAGTTAAATGCAATTAAAAACTTCCTTAAAAAAATCCAGTCTTAAAATGCTTGGAGTCATACCTCCTGTGCCCACCCCCCCTGCTTTAAAAAGGAGACAAAAATGGAACAAAAATCTGAGTCTAAACTCACTTCTTAACACGATAAGAGTGAGTTTCACATTGAGGCCAGATTGTCTGATCTTCAGGGCTTTATGCAAAGTTAAATATATTTACTGAAGCTTCTGGATGGATGGTAGATTTGGGAAAAAAGGTAAGGAGGCTTCATGGGCAGTATGACTGGCAGAAAACTTTATAGAAGTTTTAGAGCACTTTGCTGTGGCCATGTGTTGGTAATTGTGGAAAAATAGTTCCTATGGTAAAAAAAAACCCACAACAAACCACAAACCAGAAAACCCAAACAAATCAAAATATAACCCACTCCCTCCCCCCCCCCCCCAAAAAAAAACCCAAAAACCCCCAAAAGCCCAACCAAACCCCCCAAAACAACAACAAACCATAAGCATATTTGGTCATCCAAACACTGTTTCATTCCAAAATGAAAAGCAGATACAACAAACAGTTTGCACGATCTTCTCCAGGTTGTTTCTTCAAGTAGGATTTCATAGCAGAAATTACAAACATTATGGCAATGAAGGGCTCATAAGTCAAACTGAGTAAGGCATGAAAAGCTTTTATCTAACCCGAAGCTAGTTTAGCAAGCATATACTACATCCATGGTTTAGTTATTCAAAGGCCTCTATTTCACATGCTGGACATTAGGACCTCCATAAAGTAACTGTTCTGCCAGGTCAATTCCAGAGCATGAGAAAGCCTTCTTCAAAGATCCTCAGCCCTTACATTGGTTTACTCTGTGAAAAAGCACAGGAGAAATTCTTCACAGAGTACCAATGAGCAACTTTAAAAAAAACAGACATGTAAAATTAATGGTGTTCTTAAGAACCTTTAAAATTAAATTTATTTTCAAAAATAAGTTACATTTGATGAATCTGCTTCTTAAAGCCATTCAGAGATACTCTTTGAATGGACAAAACCCATCTGCTCTATGATTGTGGAGTCTGTCACATCAAATCTCTCTCCACACTAATGGCCATTTAGCAACACTCTTCAACCCATTTAAAGTGGAAGACCCTCAGACTAAAAACTGAAAATACAACAAACTTAGGTGGTTAATCTCAATCTAATTTACCTGAATCAGAACAAGTGGAAGTGTAATCTTCTGTGTCTGTCAAATCCACTTTTTTCATCGCACAGATTCCTGTTAAGTTTTTATAAAGGAAAAAAAATAATTACTTCATTTCCAAAACTATGACCCGAATTTGTGATATAACTAGTGTAAAAAAATGATTTGCTGTACTTCTTACAGGATTCTACAATTTCCTTCCCAGTCTGGTTAAAACCACTGCTCTAGCAGCCACACACTACAGTTCACTTGACAGCTGGTGACTGAAATGCTATCTATGCTGCAACTGCAATTGCAGCTGTCATCATCTTTGTTTAATAGTATAATGTAATCAAGCTATTTTTTAATTGGCATCAATGTTGTTTTCCTTGTTAGGCCAATTATTCTTCCCCACACAAATTGGCCATTATGTTGAGAATGTATGTTAAAAAAAAAAACAAACAACAAAGGCACAACTGGTAGTCATCTGTATTTTTCAGATCCAAGACCTAAATACAGACAGACCATCTGAACTTCGCAGTTCTGACAGATTCTGCCTGTTCTCTGCACGTTTGGTGCCTTATCCTGAAACTTTGAGCCAGAATCTGTACTCTAAAGCTGTATATAAACTCTTTTACCAAGCCAGTCACACACACACAGGACAACTAGGACATTCCACTTGCAGATTTACTAATTATATTACTGAAGAAGCCCATAAACATAATCTCCCCCTACCCACAAGAAACAAAGTTTTTCCTCCATGTTACTGTTCAGAAACTGCTGTTCTCTAGTTCTCTTCAGCTAGGTGCTGCTCCTTCAAAACCAGAGAGAACACTGCAAGCAACCTCAGGATGTAAAAGGCTGTAATTTGAAAACATTTTCCCATCCCAGCCTCTCCCTACAATGCCTTATTATTCAATCCTTTCCACTCCCTCCCTGCTGGGCTACCTCCTGTGTTATACTGCAGTAACTACTAGATATTGGATTAAAAAATTCACACCAAAAAATAATTCTTTAACGCCCATAGGACAGTAAACTTTTAACCTGCGTCAGTTCCATGATCCAGTTCAGGCAATTCAGATGCAAAAGCAGTTGCATCATCCAGGTGGAAAATGTTCTAGGAGTGGAAGTGAAGAGCTAGGAAGCTTCAGTTAGGGCATATTATACTTCAAGATTCTCTTCTCCCATTGAAGGATTTGTGAAGAGGCAACAACAGAACAACAAAAGCAAGACAATTCTGTTCTAAAATACTTTAAATCATAGGATGAAGTATAGGTTAAACCATATTCCAAGTGCTTTGTATTTTCCTAATCAACAGAGACAAGTGCCAAACCAAAATTTGTGCCAAGAAGAAAGTATTAGAAACAATACAGCCTTGGGGTATAAGAAATTTCTTTAAAAATCAGAGCATTATAAAGCTAGGAGTAAATGTTGTTTCCTCTGTGCATTTCTATTGGAGCCTGTAGGAGATACCGCAGAAGTAAAACGAAAGCACTGTTTGTGTAATAAGTTTTAACACTCTGCTAAAAGCAAAACCAAACCACAAACATAAAGCCTGGGTAGCCATCAACAAAACACAGAGGAAAAAAAAAATATTTCTTTATGCCTATAGACCTAAAATGACATGTCCATTGGTATTTCATTTAAGACTTACAAAAATGTGCTGTTAAGATTTATGGAGTTTCTCTGGAAAAAGGTAAAAAAACCCAAGCCACAGCTATACCCTGATTAACAGCAGTTTGTAAGGCTAAATCAGGATGAGGTAACCTGAAAAGAGAAAAAATCACTCTCTCTTCTTGTGTATGCAGTTGCCAGGTGACCATGAAGCACAGAGCTCTCCTTTCAAAGGCTTAAAAAGTCAGGGAACACATGAATCTGATATACAGGCCCTAGCCATGGTTTCCACAGGATGACATCCTTACAGGTCTTTTTCTTTTCATCCCCATTGTGAGGAAGATTCTTCTATTTAACATCCATAGGACAGCCCTACCAAACCCAGCATCAGGTGTGTGGCTGGTACCCCCTGCTCCCGACCCCTGGTAATGTGGTTATCATAACTAACATCATTTCATGAGGCAAACAGCCATATACAGGTCATGTATTTGTTCCCTTTCCCCTTGTTATCAAGCCCTGAAGGTCCTGTGAACCAAGCAGACAAACCACACAGATTTCTTCTTCCCCTCCCTGCTCTCCTCAAGGCTCCTGGGCACCAGACCAATTACTCCCTTTCTTGCTGGCCTTGAAGGTCCCAGGCACACAGCCAGCCAGGTGCTGTTGACAACCCATCACACAACAGCCCACAGAGCACTGTCTGTAAAATCAACCAGGTTCCAACTGGGGAACGTGGACCCAAACTGCTGCTGGTCACTGAGACCTGTGACTTCCCAGTGACCATGGATGCCTCCACTGTTGGCTGCTTCCTCCCAGGAATGAGGGAGTGACTTGTATTCTTTGACTAAGTGTAGATTATGATTGTTACATTGATACAGCAAAACATGTATTAATATTCTATGATTTGACGCAACCTGCAGAGGGTTAAGGTGATTAGAAACCTCAAGTTGTACTGTAAATGTTGTATTACTTACAAACTGTACTACATTGATTTTGATAGTGTGTCATTCTAACTGTAAATTCTATGCTATACTTATAATATGCTATTAAGAAAATCAAGTTTTAGTTGTAACTACAGTTTAGCATCATCATAATTCTTTTCAGTATACCTAAAAATCCCACTCTGTCCCCTTAGTGTCAGGTGACACAGGTGTGGGTACCTCAGCACTGAACACATGCACGCAGTTGCATAAATACTGTTTACCTCTCTACTGAACAGACGGGATGCTCAAGTCTTCATGGAGACCTTTCTGACTGAGCCAGCCACCTACTTTCTTTCAGGTTCAGGAGACCGCAGTCCAGTCACCCCCTCTATCATGCATGTTCAAGTTCTGCACCTTCCCCCAAACACCAGACTTGCTGCTTCTGCATAGAAGGTGAACGTGTTCACCATACAACCAGCCTGAGAAGGGGTTCCTATAGCTATTTCTACTGTTAGCCACAGTCAGCTCAGTTCTCCTATAAAATACTGTTTTCACTGTCAGTGTAGAATAAAACAAAGGACCATGACACTTTCCGCTCTTCTCCAAAAGATGCAGCAGCACTCCAGAAATGCTACTGTCACCTCAGTAATGCACCAGTCCACATCCTGCCCCATCTGCCAAATCAGTCATGCTAACACTTGAGACTTCCAGATTTAGTGAGCATTAGTTGTAGGACTCAAAATTCTGACTCATCCTCACTGACAGGGCAGCTGGAGAGGTTAAAGACATCTGACAAAGGCATTTTGAATCACCCCACTACCTAAAGTGTAGGAGCAGTGGGATTTTAAATCAGAGCCTCACCCTTCTAAATACCCATTTGAGATACTAGACACTGCTATACTTACTAGCATGAGGGTTTGAAGAAAAAATTGCATCATAGATAAAATTCATGTAAAGGACAGGGCAGAGGTTCTTACAGAGCCTTTTTTCAAAAAATAAATATTTTGTAAAAATACTTTTACAAAAAAAGTTTTGTCAACCTACCAGATTTTGGCTACTGACATGCCAGAAGCGGCATGTTTTTCCAGTTCTGCCAAAGAAAATCCAAACCTGGGTACAATGCTTATTTGAGTGTTGAAGGGTTCTGACTTACTATCTGCCTTGCTGATCCAGATAAAGCAGCATCAGTTCTAACTATTTCTTCTTTCTTAATGTAATCTAAGTTTGCACTAGTGATACGGTGGTTTCTGCTCATCTCCAAGCAGCTGCAGATGAGAACAGTATGTCCATTTACAAGTACAAAGCTGACTATACCTACCCAAATACAGCACAGAATTCTCACCTCAAAATCTTTTGTACTCTGGGGGAAGCAAACTGTGGTAGAAAATGTTCATTACAGTATTGCTGCATACACAACTATGGGTGCATGCTGCTCTACTATTTAGATAGGGATCTGGAACTGGTAAGGAATACAGAGATACTGCTATGAATCAATTGTTTACTCAAGATTTTTTAATTTTTTTATTTTTTTTTAAGTTATACATAGGCCTTAATAGACACCCCTAATTTAACTACAGTATTACTGAATTAAGCCATATACTGACAACAAAAGGGTTGTTTTTAAAAAACAAAGAGTAAATTTTTTATTGCTGTATAAATGAGTAAATGACCAACTCATGAACCCAAGGATTTATACTGCAGGAGTCAGAGGCTGACAGAAGTTGTGTATGCCTGGCCAGTTCTACTTGTTACTCTATATCTTTTCTAAAGGGAAAGCTTCCTAGGGCAAGCTGTCAAAGCACTGGTAAAAATGGAAAGAACCATTATATCTAGCCCTGCCACCTGTTTTCCCTTTTTCCAGTGTAGGATCACAAGATCCTGCTTAACAGCAGTTTAAGTTCAAGGCTTGACCAGAGCAAGAATTACTCCTAAAATACGCTGAATAATCCTGAAGAGCCCGCTGCAAAACATGCAGCTTGTGAATTGTAAGCAACTAAGTTTCTTAGCACCTTTACATCAGTAACCACTGAGGTAAAGCAAGAAGAGGTGGCAACCTCTGCTGCTTTGCAAATACACAGTGTTTTATACCACAACATCCCAAAATAACAGTTTTGTTTTGGATGAGGCTTATCTGATGAAAATGACCCACCTTTCAGAAAGTATAACTAGCTGAATTGTGTCTTAACAGGCACATATCCTCTTTCAGGCTCCTTCATTTCACAATGACTTGGAAAACCCCCAGAATTTCTCCCCAAGTTAACAATGCCTGCCCTCATCAAAAGATCAAGAGTAATCTTTTGATCTTTCTTCTCCACAAGACATAAGGCATTCTGCAGGAGAAAATTTCAGACTTGCTCCCAAAGATGCTCTCAACAAGTGTGATAAATGTTGGCATTAAACACTTCCAAATAAGATTTTAGTTAAAAAACAGAGGGTGAATTTGAGGTGGTAGTGGAAAGTGTTCAAACCAAATACACCACAAAGTTTTATGTTTGATTTTTATTGTTAATGAGTTTACACATCAGTATCTTTGCATTATCATTCGATGTACTCTACATTTAT